AGCTGCGTGAGTGACAGCTGGCTCTGCCTAGCTAGAGGCAGAGCCAGCTGTACCCGCCCCCTCCCCGTCCGTTCCGCCAGATCGGAGCGGGGAGAGGGGAATCCAGCCCTCCCCCTGTCACGACAGAGAGCCGTGACAGGATCGAGAGGTGTGCGAACCTGGTATGTTCCTCACCTCCCGATCTACTGAGCCGACCTGTGACAGTCTCATTGTCACAGGTCGGCTAGAACTATGAGGTGAGTGAAAAGCACTCACCTCATAGTTCTCCTTTAAGCTTAACTGGACTGAAAAGAGAAGCCAATTGGTTACTATGGTCAACTCATTGAACAAAAAAAAAAAAAGCTGAGGCGTACTATTGTTCAGTAGCACTCGTTATCGAATGCTTGCAAAATTGACACTTGATGTTAAAAATGTTGGTGACCCCATAAGTTAAATCTAACATTTTAGTGATTGGGGTCACATCAACACCACGGTCTGAATTGAACAAAAAACTATTTAATGGATCACTTGATCAGTTTTCAAAACCAAAAGGCAAATCTTCAGCCTGACCTACAAAATGAAGGCCAAAGAAATGTTACTTTGGTAATGGACTATATCGCCACACCCTGCTTGGCCTTTCCAGAATCATCTGTAGTTTCCTTGATAACACCGCAGGCCCGGCCGGCCGGCAGAATCTTTACCTGAACCATTGGGGCCAATGACACAATTGAACCGTTTGAAGGGCCCTATGATCTTTCGGCCCCGCCACGATTTAAAGTCCTGCAGGACGAGGTGACTGAGGTAGCCCATTGTCTCGGGTGACAAACTTTTCCCGCCAAACTCGCCCTCTGGCGTCACTCCTGTCACAGAGCCTGACAGAGACCTCGCGAAAAGTGATGTAAAGGGAGCCGCTCCGATACAGCGCCAGCGCGGTGACGTCGTGCGTTCTCCCGCCCACCCAGAGTTGCCCAGCAACCTTTCGTGTTTGGTCTCTATGGAAACGTGATGCTGAAGTTCTTGCCGGGAAACGGGAGACATGTACAAGCTGGAGGTGCCCGTGGATCTGAAGGAGGCCGCCGTGCTGCAGAGAAGGAGGGATGGCGAGGTGCAGAGGCAGAGCCGGGTCTTTAATGCCAGAGACAGGACTATTGGGGTGAGGCTGTTCGTGGGGTTGGGGGGTTCAGCTGGTACATTCTGAGAATTCTCATTATCTTACTGCGCTGGTAATTATAGTTGTCTTAGTCTATGTCCCCATCCCTCATCATCTACATATCACATTAAAGGGTCACTCTAAGCAAAAGTGATATTTCAAACACAACATATTTGATTTTTAAAGAGACCCTGTCATCAGACCATTCCTATTTAACAACAATCCTTTTGTAAGATTATATGAGCAATTATTGTATTTATGGATATTATTTACCTGCAAAAGCCTCCCTTGTGTAGACATCAAGAATCTCTGAGACCGCTGCTGGGTGCTGCTATCTTGAATGTGACGTCAGCATCCCCAGCAGACTCAGAGCTGTCAGGTAACACTCTATAGCTGGGGTAGTGAATTGAAATACAAGGCGGTCAGGCGAGTAAAATTTTCATGAAGCAGAGGTCCGAATCACCGGTCACTCGGTCCCTGTCTGTACCGCGGTGTGCCATTTAAAGCTTGTTCACACCATTTTCTGGTTCAGATTTGCAGACGCGGTGCTATGCGTGCAGCACGTTTTTGGTGCGTTTTTCCGCGTTCCGGACGCATTCCAGTTCCTTTTTTTGTGGTGTGGGGCTGTCAGCTGTTAACTGCAGTGCAGTGCGTTTTTGGCGCATTTTCGTTGCGTTTTTGACGCATTCGTGCGCGTTCCGGACCGAAGAAAATGTGACATGCAGTATTTTTTCTGTCCGGAACGGACTGTGCTGGTGAGAACCGGAGCCCATAAAACACATAGGGATACATTGGGATGCATTTTGTGACATCGTGTGAGCAAGCCCTTAGGCTGCATTAACACCAGCAACTTCTGCACTACAACAAGCCCCTATGTCACAGCATTTGGAGGTGACAGGTTCTCTTTATGGAGACATCAAGGGTCTATTAGACTCCTGATGTCTCCCCTGTACCTCCAACGCAGAAGATGAAGCAAAGAAATGTATTTCTTCTTCTGTATACCTGGCACTTCAGTCGGCTTCTGACAGTTCTGATACAGGAAATGATGAGAGCAGCGCTTCATGCTTCAGTGATCACAGAGCAGATCGGGGAACAGACACTGTCAAGTCTGCTCCCGCTCTACATCCTGACATTGTCTGCCATGGCCCTGGGCCCGCCATAGGAACGAGGGACCCGAAAACACAGCGTGGGGGGACCAATAGCTGAATAGTACAAGTGATCTGGGTAGCTGTACAGCTGCTCAGATCACTTGTAGTTGAGAAGCTGGCCCTCTCCGCTTGATGTCATTGGTTGCTAGGAAGCCAGCGGTCCTAGCAAACAATGACTAAAGGGGGGGGGGGGGGGGGGGG